CCCCCGGGCCTCGGGCGCGGAGAACCGCTGGGGTCGCCACGGCCGCGCTCGCCGCCGCCGCCCCCCTGCGGGGGTGGCCGGGCTGCCCGGCTCGCGGGGCGCCGCTCCGGGTGAGGCGTCCACCATGGTGAGGCCCCCGAGCCGCTGCTGCCCGCGCGCCGCCCGCCGCCCCTCGGTGCCGCCGCCTCTGCCGCCGCAGCCTCCCCGCCTGCTGTTGCTCCTCCATCTCCTGAGCGGATCACGGTGAGGGAAAGATGAGCGAGGAGACGGCAACTTCTGACAACGAGTAAGCGAGCCCCGGCCCTGCGCGAGCCCCGGGGGCGGCCCCCTCCCCCCCGCCCGCGCCCAGCCCGGCCCGCCCGGGAGGGGATCGATGCCCTCTGCGGCCGGGCCGTTCTCTCTCCGGGCAGCACCCCTCTCCGTCCTTGCATGGGCGGCGTAGCCCTCGGACGTCTCCGAGGCGGGGGGCGGGGGCGAGGTGGGCGCCTCGAAGTGGAGGGGAGACTCCCCTTTGCCTGCCCTTCACTCCGACACCCCCCCCCCAAAAAAAAAAGCCCACCTTGAACGTCCAGCCGTCCTGCCCTTAGCAGCTATTTCGCTCGGAAACTAAAGGTTGTGGGGTCACCTCCTGCCGCAAACGGCTCCTGAATCCCGAGTCGATGACTCAGTGACTCTGAGATGCCGACGGAGCCTTCGCCCCCCGCCCCACTCTTTAAACTTGTGACCTATACTATTCTAGGTTAAAAAAAAAAAAAAAAAGAAAGAAAGAAAATAGGGTTAGGGGAACATTTTAAGAATTAAATAGGATCAGGGACACCTGGAGTGTAGGCGATGTTGAGCTGTTGTGTGGTTTTATTTTATTTTATTTTTATTTTTTTAAATCTGTTTTTACCTCTGCCCACTTCGTAAAAGAACGGAGCAGTAAAGAACGCTGCGTGCGGCTTTTTCGTCTGCGGTTAGAGCAAGGGTGTACGTTGCCGAGCGCGTCGGTGACTTCCATCTGAGCCTCACGCGTGACTTTTTAAGTTTTTGCCTGTTTGGGGCTGCCCTTAGGTTTTTTTCCCGAACGGGGCATCTTGCCTTTTAAATACCTTGCTTCCACGTAGCGGCCTCTTGGAGGAGTAGTGGTACTCTAAGAGTTTTCCCGTTGGGGGCGGGGGGCGGAAAAAAAGAGTTAATTTGGGGCCGAGTATGGGCGTCCGTTTCCTGCAGCTGAGTTGGAGTTGTGCTTGTCTGTGGAGGGCCGTAAAGAGTTAAAGAGGAAGACTGGTCCTGAGGACGCATTCCTCTAAAGAAAGGGCATTCCTCGAGCCGGACCTTCTCGGGAAGGCCGGGAAGGTCAGCGCCGAAGCCCGGCCGCCGTAAAACAGCCAGAAAAATGCCAGGCAGCGTCCCCCTCCTGGAAACGCACCGAGAGGAGCGGGTGTGGAAGGGGGCGGACGGCTGCCGTCCGCGCAGCCGGGGAGCAGAAGCGGCCGCCATGTTCTCTCTTTTTGTGAATCGCCCTCATTTGCATAGCACACTTCATTCATAAAAAAAAAAAAAAAAAAGGAAAAGAAAAAAAAAATAATAATTAAACATCCGTCACCTTGGACGGCTTGAAAGGAGTTCCCGAGGGACACCGTTCGTTCGGAGCTTGTTTGTCTTTGCGTGGATTTTCGGGTTCAGGAACGGAGGGGAGTTTCAAGTTTGAGGTTCAGCCTGAGGACCTGCGCGCGCGCGCGCGCGCGCACACACACACACACACACACACAAACAGCTACCCCAGTTCTCAGAATGTTGACACAGTTATGTGGGAAATATCAGTTCGGGGAGGTGCTGGGATCACGTGACCGCCTCCATTCATAAAATACCTGGCTGTCCATTCACAGTGCAGTACACTGTCACTGCCTTCCGCAGACTAGACCTATTTTGAGCGAGATCAGGAAGCCTGTCTCAGATAGTGCCGGGCGAGGAGAAGAGCTGCAGAAACGCTGAAAGGAAGGACGGGAACTTTTATTAGTATCTTGCAAGAAAGCAGCTGGGATAAAAAAAAAAAAAAAAAAAAAAAAATCTTAAGATTTGTTTTAGAGACGGGGAAAGATGTCCTACCAGTTTAATAGGTTAGGAAGTAGTATATTGCCTTGCTAAAGCCGTGGAGTAAGGTAGCTGTAGATTAATGCAGGCGTAGATTGGATTGTTTCAGGACGGGCCCTTTGTTGGTTCTGTAGGAAATTGAAAGTGCAAGTGGGTGAGAGAGCGAATTCAGTGATGGAACTGTTGTTGCATTAAATGAAAAAGTGTTTCCGATGGACTTAATCCTCAAAATACCGACGCCTTGAAACAGAAGTGGCAGCCCCCAACCCCGATCTTAAATGTGCTTGTGGGCAATTTGGAAATTATTCATTCAGATTTTTAAAACCGTTTTTACAAATATGGCCTGCCTTATTAATACATTGTTCCGCAGGAGCCTTGTAATAGTATTAGTTTGGGTAGGAAAAGAGTCATCTATTTCAGCATGTATTGTCCTCTGAGAGGTTCTTCATAGGGTAAAAATGGGAAGTTTTTTTTTTTTCCTTTCTTTTAAATTAACGTTAGAAAATGATTGTGTTCAGTTGGTAATCATTGCTGCCAGAGCTGAGTTCTTGAGTTCTTGTGCCTTAATAGCTCAGCCACAAAGTGGATTTATTGGAATGTCCCTTTTAATCTGGTCATTTGTATATTTTGTTTTTAACATAGGAGGTGAAGTTTTGAAATGGCAATTCATTGTTTGTAATAGTATATTAAGAAATATAGTTGAGCCCTCACAAAAGGGCTTAGCTTTGGCTTAAAATGGCCCTGTGTTATTTCTTTTTTTTTTCCAGAGGGATTGACCACAGCAGAATTTGTTCTTAACATTTCATTGTTTCTTTTTGTTTGTTTTTAGAGCCTTTTAAAGAAGTTGAAAATCATCAATTTTTTGGAAGAACGTGTTAACTTTTTAAAATTGATAGCCATTGTGCTAAAATATAATAAGACCTTTTAGGGTCCTTATTCTGAAAAAGCATTATTTGAACTTAGTGTTTTTTTGTTCTGTGGAGAAACAGGTAATTGAGGTGGTTATGTATTTTATCAAGAATTAGTAGAAAATATATTATGTAAAAGTGTAAAAGGCGATTAACAATGACAAGTCAAATGAGGGGAAAAAGTGAATGAGAATAAGATGAAACATTAATGTGTCTCAGATTCATGCTTAAAAGTAAGATTTTTCGGCAGGGAGGATGGCTCAGCTGGTAAAAGCGCCGTGTATACGCCCTCTAGCCTCATGACCTGAGTTCTGTTTCTGGGACTTACATGGAGGAACCTGCTCCCACAGCTTGTTCTCTGACCTCCGCACACACATGTGGTACCTGTGCATCTAACAGTCACATAACCACTAATAAGATAGGGCTTTAATCCGACTTTTCAAAGGACACTTGGTAAAATGTACCCGAGAGTAAACTGCTTTATGCCACAGATAAAGGATCTAGCAATATGTTTTATGTTCGAGGGTAATATTTTATTTTGCAGAAACTGACATTCCAAATGTTTCCAGTAGATAAAGATGTACCATGTTATATGTAATGAATTAGCCGTTTGGACACAAGTATGTATTATGTAACGCATAAAGGCCTTTGTAATTTGCTGGTGAGTGAATGGCACACCACCTGTCCTTTGCCAGTTTGAACAAAGTCCTTGAGTGAAGTAATTTTAGGTTATAGTAATTTTAGACTAGGTTAATTTAAAATTGAGATAAATTTGCTGTAGTATAAGCTGGGTTAGAACCATTTCTCCTTTCAAAAGCAAATTTTGTGGTTATATCATTTAGTGCTTCATTTAAAGTATATCTCTCAGTGGGAGTATGAAAATATTGACTTTCTTCCATTTGTCTTATATTAGAAAGTATTCTAGAACAGAATGGAAAAACATCGGGAAGCTATGTAACAGTTAAAATGTATGTTTCTGTAAAATTTGCCTAGAATTCAGTTGGGCGCTCAATGCTTGCTCACCTTCAACTTTATTTCTTCTTTTTGATACAAAACTTTCTGGTCCTGAACTGTATGTTTTTAAACTATATGCTGTCATGCTCAGAATAATTTTAAAAAAAAACTTGTGGAAATAATTTTTCTCCAGAAGACTCAATGGCGCCATGTTCTCCAACATTCTGTCCTCATATGTCATTGTGCTCTTGATCTAAACTTATAATCAGATTTTAAAATCGTAATATAATCATTTACTAATTTTTTGCTCATTATTGCCCCTTATTTCTTAGTGCTCGGTATACACTTTGTGTGTGTGTGTATGTATGCATTAGGGATCATTTAGCTTTGTTAGAAAATGGGCTGAAAACTTAACGGGAAAATAAATTATGTTATCTTTTAAAGAAGATTTACCATTTCTTTCCTAAGGCCAAAATTGGCTTCCTTTTTGATGTTATATTTCCTCAAGTTCTAGAAGTAATAGTTGAGACCTGAAACTATCTGGGATACTCCTAGAGTAATTGCTGTGTTGGCTGCTGAGCTGTGCGCAGTACCAACAAAAAGGTAGTCATTGTCTGTATCAGTCTCAGAGGTTTGGAAGTTTCTTCGTTTTGCATCTCCGTGGTGTCTGCTACAATAAACTGGCCAGGAGTAAAGACATTCATTCATTGATGGGGAAAAGGTAAAAATTGTAGGCTCCCTAACTGCATGCTGTTGCTGGTGACCGGGAAGTGTCCACAGGGAAAGACTCACATGCCGGCTGTGCGTAGGGTGACTTGACTAATAGGTCTCACTGCGTTGGGAAGGGAGATGCACAGGGGTCTCTTGCCTCTCCAACCATCAGGAAGAGTTGCATTTGGATTGAAACTGCCGGTATGAGAAGTAGTTTACCCACCTACGTGAGAGCAAAAACTAGTTTAGAGAGAATAGTTTATTTGCTGTGCTACCATCAGGTAATGACGACTACGTTTTGTTATGTAACTGTGCTCCACTACCTATGCTTTTGCTGATGATGTTCATATATTGGATTCTTCACATTGTGCCAAGCACTGTGAAAATGCTTCGTTTAAGGATTACGTAACTAATGTTTTTACACACACCCACCCTCTCTGTGTCTCTCTAAGTGGAATAGTTTCATAGCAGAGGGTATAGTAGATTAATACATGACTATTTGGCTGTGTGTTAGTTATCTTTCTAGAGTGTGACTTTTAGTGACTACTGTATGTCCAATGTATGATGTACATCAATGTTTTCCAGTCATATTGTTGGGTTTTGTTTCTTCTGGGCTCTTTTGAACAGTATTAAGATT